GGCGGTCGAAACGACGACCGCTGGTGGGGCCAAGCTCTGCACTATTACGAAACGATCTTCGGCTGTCAGTCTATCTCCGTACTTGTTCAGCAAGTCCATGATGATCCCGTTGCTCCAACCGAAACCTAGTTGCACCTCGTACTCACCGCCACCTCCGTGACCGCCTGATACCGTGGCGTCATACTGTGAAACGAACATGTCACAGACGGTCTATTCGTTTACAGTTACCTAAGTTTACCTAGATCCCATGAAATTTTGCGTTACCTTCTCGAACATGCTGTGCGTCTCGTTGAACGCCTTCCAGTTGCTGCGAACCCATCGTTGGCTGATCTCGTAGGCGAGCCTCTGCGCCCACGGGTCTCCGGTGTTATTCAACGACATGATGACAAAGTATTGCAAGGGCGGCCAGGCATTCGGGTAATCCCATTGTTCACCAGAGTGTTCGAGGGTGGTCGGTATACCGCCCAAATTTAACATTATTTGATTTTTCTCTAGATACTTGAGCACCTTCGCTATGTATTCCTCTCTTTTTGCGATGTCGTAACAATCGGTCCAAAGCGGTAGAACATTGGTCGGATAAAAATAATCTCTTTTGATGTCGTTCAGTAAGTCGTAATCGAGCCAAGCACCGACTTCGTCGTGCCACAGTACGGCCGTGACCGCTCTTTTCCAGTCCTCTGCTCTTTTCCGGTAGTACGCGGCCTTGGTCTCGTTGCCCATCCTTTGATTGTATTGTTCTAGCAGCTGCGCGTTTCGATATATTATCGAATTCAAGTCCACGGGGATAATGTATCTCGTTTTCAAGTTCGTCAGGTTACCTAAACAAGAAGTTCGTAGAGTGGCCGCGTTGCTACTCATCGTGAATGGGACACGGCGACGCTACAGGATACGATACGCTCGACACAGATGTGGCTACGAAAAGTATTTGCATATACCTTGTCTTCCGATGAAAAGTTTTATCGAGTTCCGCGTTTCGTGATTATAGCGTTAATTCTTTGTATTCGTATGAAATTACGCACGTACTACCGAGCGATACGAGAGTCTGATACGAAGTAATCTCTAATCTCGCTGTTCTCCTCGTTTTCTTTACGCTTATGCACCTCCGGACGTCTTTTTTCCGAGAATCTACCTTCCTTCTCGAAAATTACGCATCATCTCGTTGAAAATACGCGTTGCGATATAATTCGCGCGTTCGATCGCAAAGTGCCGCGCGGAGAACAGCAACGACGCGAGCGAAACAGCGACTACCAATCGTCAACGGGAGGAATCCGAGGAATCGTTTCATCTTCGAATTCGCGAACTTGGTCTCGCTTTCGAGACAAGGCGAAAAAACAAGGCGCGACTGCTTTACCTTTGTTCGTGCCGTCTAGTATGAACCATCGACTAGAAAAGTCCCAGCCGGACTCGGCCGCGGTCTTCAATTCCGCGTAATAGTTGTCCTTCTCTTCGTTCGTGCGAAAACTTTGGCTGGTCAGGTAATCCTCTCTGGTCGGTAGAAATGTGCTCGTTAGAACGCGTTACGAGATTCGATCGCGACGAAGGATCGGCGACGAAAGCACCGAAGAAGGAAGAGAAAGGCAGAGGTGAGAACGAAGAGGACGAGACAGGACTGCGTAGGGAAAATGAAGAATCCACTCTTCTCTTAGGACATTCTGGTCAACTTACTTACTTGTAGGATTCTGGTCGAGGTCCCGAAGACTCCTCGAAGAATCTGGCTAAAGTGTATCTGACTCCATCCACTTCAACGTCCACCGTCCTATTGGTCATCCAAAATTCGAACTCCTTCTCTAGAAGGTGAAGATTATCTTCCAGCCATTTGTAGTCGTTGGTCACCTTCAGATACTCTTCGACCATAGGAATCAACATGGGAGGTTGAGATCTCCTGGCGTAGTAAATTCTGCCTCCGTTCGGGATGAAACCGATCTTGTCCACCAGCGAGACGAAATTGGTTAGCATTCCTTTGACGGTGGTGTACATCTCCGAAAGCAGCAGCCCCTTCACGATCCAGTACGAATCCCAGTAGTAGAACTCGCGGAATCGGCCGCCGGGGACGATCACTGGATTCGGCACGTAGATGATGGAATATCGATCCTCGTTGATCCGCACGTCGTCCTTCATCTTTCGTCCCAACATCTTCCAAATTTGGTTCAAGTCGGAGGCAAATTTGCGAAGATCGTGGTCGTGGATTTTGTTAAGAAACTTCGGTTGGCTGGTCCAGTCCACTGGGTTCCATTCCTCGAACTCGGATCCTTCTTGGTCGAACGTGTTGTTGATGAATTGTTCGATCTGGTTCCTGGTCGGTGCTTGATCCACGCGTTCCATGAATTCGCGAAATAAGAGCAGCGTCTCGTTCGGCGAGTATTTCATCTTCATGTCGACGAACGTTTTCGAGTCCTTGTAGATCGAGGCCATCTGTATCGTGTGCAGCAGCTCGCCATGGCAGTAAATATCGCTGCAAGCCACAGAAACGCACGCGTATGTCCCATCAGTACGCTGATTTTCCGATTCATCCACGTTCGATAGAATCAGACGACAAATTTCGGTCGAAACGAGCTAGAATTCGCTAGCTGTGTGTCTCGATAAGCTTGCGTCTCGTTCCTACCAGCCCTTACGTCTTGTGGTCCGACGCAGACGAGCGACGTTTCTTTCGCCAATTTCACGCGCGTTTCATCAGTTCGTTAGATAACGCGAGAAGCAAGTAAACATATTTACGATTGCAAACGACAGTTTTATTGCTTTGTATTCGCTCTAGGAATATCAATTTAATCGAGCCACGGTATTCTGTTCGATGTTATATCGTAAGATAAGATCGTAGCAAAGCCATTTACCCGTAGTTTTCTAATTGAAATAAATCTTCTGAAGGAATACGCGTCGCTCGTCTACGTCGAATCCGTATCGTAGAAATCTGCGGATTTCCCCGAACTCGTCGTATTCTTCTCGTTAACGAGGCACCGTCCAACGTCACGAGCAATTTCCGACCACACGAGTCTCAGGATTTGGTCAAGGATTTACGATACTCTTCCACGTAAGCGTGGAATGAAAATTCCCAGCGATATCGACCTCCACACGTGTCGCGCGAATATCCGAACGACGAACCGTCTCTCGAACGTTGCATCGTTTGAAACATTCGCGCGGGATAACAAATGGCGATAAAAAGGAAAGTTTCCGAGTATTCGCAGGTTATAGGATCTGCATGGAAGCAGCATGGACCGAATTCGTGGAATTTCTTTTCTCTCTTCGCAACGTTAAAAAGTAGACCGAAAAGAAACTAAATCGATGGCGCAAAGTTGCAAATGATACGTCGCGTTAACGCAACGTGGTCGCTCGATATTCGTCGTGACCAATCTTTTCATAGACCAATCAATTAACCCGGTGGCTCTTATTTTGATTAAAGTCACGTGTAAATAATCCGAAGCTGAAGCGCTTCGTCCAATTCCATTTTGTTTCGTTCAATTTCATCGCCATCGTGATAATCAAATTTTCCTGCGGACGCGTTATAGGAACGCACGCGGTGTAACGCGTCGTGCGAATCGAACTAATCACGTGTGCTTTGGTTATCGCGCATCTCGTCGGCAAACGAGAGTCTTTGTAAAACTGTGATCTCGCTACGATAACGTGGCTAATCCATTATCTCGTTCGTAGCTGATGTTTACTACCTTTATGATAAGCTATCGTACGCGGCTGAAACGCAACGCCTCGTTCGGATCAATTCGAGTAACTTGAAACCGTTCTATTTACTTGGCTTGAAAT